ACAATCAACTAGAATGATTGCCCAGCAGGAGGCGACTACATAATTACTCCTCCAGGTTCTCCCCAGGAGAAAATTCAAAACAGGGGGAGGGGCAAGGGGTTAGAGGTGGAGGGGGTGTGAGGTTGGAAACTAGGGGGAGGGCGGGAGGGGGAAACTAGGGGCGGTCCGGGGGCGGCCTATTTTTACCGTACGACTAATTAATGCCGTAAAATCGGCCCACCACACCATAGACGAAACGCGTATTTGGGGTTCTTGTTGATATATAAACGATCGCCGAGTCGGTTGTACAGTTAGAACAGGTTACACTGTCGCACTTGTCAGGTTAACCTGTGTGTACTTGTCTGCCAGGCATGCTGTACGGTTAAAAATCACGCTCGGATGTCCTGCGCTCGCAACGCCAGCTCTTGTTACGGATCGATTATCCCGCGCTGGCAAACCTTCTTATTGTTTGGTGCGAATTAAACGGGCGCAACGAATATCAAACAGGGCGGGTCTTTCCAAACGCCCCGTTTGCGCACGTAGGAGAACCCTGCCTCCAGTTCGAGCTGTTATGGCTGCTGTATCAGTGGGGTATGTGATTCGTAGGAATTTGTACGACACTTGGCCAATTTGGCAACTGGCAAATCTGCCAGTGTAAACGCAAAAGTCGCGCGGTCATCATGTTTCCTAATATCACCGACACGGCAGCAGCGCGAGGTTGGGCACGTTTGTTTTAGCTCCAACCGTGGCCAATCAGAGAACAGCACATTCAGCGGGTGTGTCCCTCCACCTAGGGCGAAGCACGCGTCCTTTTTGCTTTAGCGTGCCCAGCGGGCGCGGCATGGTAGACGGACAGACAGACAACAGGACAAATTCAAGTGTTTCCAGAATACGCCCCCCACCATTACTCAGTCGTTGGCGGGGGCGCGGTATAATAACGACTGGTGCACCAACATCACACTAATGACTGAGTAGGCATCATGTAAACTAGTTATGCTTACCTGGCCTTGCAGGGATCTGCCAGACAGATAGGAAATATTTGTGACCATTATCGTTGAACTAAATCAGTCTGACACGTTCTGCAAAAAAGTCGAAAACATTTTTTTGTTATAAAGACGACAACATATACTATACAAATACGTTAACAAACCCAGACAAATAGTAAGAACAGTTACCATGTCTGGAGTCCACCGAACCACCTGACTGATTTTTTCGTCGTGTGTCTTCAGCAGTTGGCTAATTTGTATTGAAGTACGTACGCTATCCACAGCGAGTCTTTGCCCCAGATAAACACCACGTAAGATGGGCGCAGCTCTCTTGCACGAGCTTCCTGCAGAAGCTTCAGCACATAGCGCGAAAGGATACGCCGACTGACAAATGCCGAAGCGGGACAATGCACACAGCATTAGGACTATACTACAACGCGGATATATTTTACAATATACAGACAAAGAGCCGAGATGCCATGAGAAAAAATGCCTCAACAGCTAACATGACACTCATTAAAGGACAATACTGTGACTCTATCGGTGCTAGGATATTTTCAGTTGAGGTTAGGTTAAATTACGCACTACATTAAAAATTTCATGGTTCATCACCTCATAAGAAATGTTTTTTTTTACATGAACATTTTCAAACTACACGATCTACAGTTTGAGTACAACGGACGATGGCGGCCACCTCAAAAGCGCACGTATCTGAAAAAGTGCGCAAACGGACTTTTCAGCATAGGACTAACAGACCGAGCGGGCTGTTCTCAGTGTTTCTTATTTTATTAATCTGAAAAGGCAAGAAGGCATTGCACCATATCTTACTAAATGACAGCTATAGTTTCAGCTTATAATACTGCGATAAATGTCCCCTAAAATGCATATATCGTTGTGGGTTAATTGCATTTAAAGTATAAATATAATTGCACTTTGTGTATAGCCCCTCAGTCTGCTAACTTGCTGCCCAAACGTAAAATTACTAATGCACAACTTTTTCAGGGTGCGCAGACCCATGATCGCGCGCAGTTGTCATTGTCAGCGCCCCAAAAATGTAGATTTTTGAAATTCCAATGTTGTTTTATGCACAAAAACGTGAATTACGGAATTTTAAAATATTTATAGGTTTACTGTTGCGCTATTATTTATCAATCTTACTATTCATAATATCTACTTCTCAATTCTACAGTAAAAGCATTCCTTTAAACTGTCACAGTCAGCTGTCGAAAATACGTTAATAAAAGAGGAACCTGCAATGATTGCTTTGATGGCCCCAACTAATAAATCAATTTGGCACGTGTAGGACTCTTCAATCCAATCATGCACTTGTATTCGTTGAAGAAGGACTCACAGAAATTTACGAAACAGCTGCCTCTAGCCTGCGGAGTAAACTCACCGAACGCTAAACTGCCCCATGCGCCCCAAGCGTCCAGAAACTTCCCCCTCCCTATCCTCCTGTCTTTATACCCATTTCTCTCTTGCTCTCGCTCTCACACTAAATCTCTCGAACACTCCCGCTCTCGCCCTCTGAACCTCACTCTCTGGCTCTCGCTCCATTCCCCTCTCTCCCAATTCTCTTTCCCTTCTCTGTCTCTCTCCCCCTCCCCTTCTTTCTACTCTGCTAGGATGCGCTCGCTTACCTTCGCGTTTCTCCTCAGTGACGTGCACAGCTTCTTCACCTCCTCCACCGTCGGATCGAGGCACTGCTTGTAGCGTGCGCGTGACTGCCATCGCTCGTATTGTCCCAGCAGCTTCGCACCGATCATCTCTAATGCCTTCTGTGCAGGCTGCGATAGCGGATCTGCACGAACGCATCAACATTACATCATCGCTTATGGGCGAATCGGCACGTTGGCAGAAATTTTTTCGAAGGTGACAGTTTGGGTACGTTTTCGTCACATGCACTTCAATAAAGAACTGCCTTTTTTTTCCAAAAAATCATTATATTTATTTTACTGATGATGACCTACAGCGAATTGGCAAAACTACTAAATGACGATGCATTGTGTATAGCATATTATTATTACTATTATCACTAAGTAGTTACCTATCCAGCACTCTAGTCTTGCACATGGTTGCGTTTTCACAATATCTGGAGGATCTACGCCAACATTGAGGCACAGTACCAATGCCACGCTGACCGTTTTCATCTACGTTGAGGCAAATGTTATAAACATAAAACATGTGCAAATCTCATAGTGCAACAGCAACGGATATCGCTCAGGCATGTTTAAATGCAGTCAAACACGTCTTCGTGGGCACAGCTATAAAATTACCCCCTTCTTGTATCGGCCACTAATACTAATAGTAATAGAAGATTAAAGTGGCCCTTACACACACAGGTTTGGCTGGATAAGCCCAAGGGTAACTCCAAGAAACCACCAAGTGTCCTTTAGTTTATAGACCGTTATCTGTTTTATAGAGGCGTCAACAATCTATGCAACAAAACTAAATAAATTGTACTAACTTAATAGCAAATAATTATATTTGCTGAAGTAGTCACTTCGACTTGAACTGCCTGGAACTGAGCAAATGCCGCAGATGGAGTCGTTGTCGTATCAGGTACTACAGATATGTACCCGAGGTAGTTTTAGGTTGTTTAGTATTATGTTTATATTTTTATATGAGGTATGTTTAGGGTTAGGGTTAGGGTTAGGGTTAGGGTTAGGGTACACTTCTGTAGTACAAGTCTGGTACACTTTGTGTATAGATATATGTACCTCGGGTACATATCTGTAGTACCTGATACGACAACGACCCCTTCAGCGCACAGGCACTTGGAACGTATCAATAAAAAAAAAAGGTAAATAAACACGAAATGTACCAAAGTCTTAATGTTTCTCTACTCTATTTTGCCTATAATCACCTGTAAATGCCGGTCAAATGCTCATCTGCAACACACAAGTACCCCGCACGCCCGCCCGCGCTGTGCTGCGTGCACAAACAACATGAATAAGAAAGCAGGTAGGAAAGCGTAATCGCGAAATTCGCTCAACGCTCGCTTTATTTCACACCTTAACAGCACAAATACACATCAAACAGCTTCCATCTTGGTAGCTATGTCACCATGTGTACAGAAATGTTCACATGTTTGAATTTTATAACTTGCTTTGTTACTTACCTACTCGCGCCGGATATGTTCGTGAAATCCTGCAGGAAATGCTTCTCTCCGTGGAAAATGCTAAAGAGGACGAAGATGTCTGTTTATACACGAGTAATGGCGGCGTGCTTGCATGCTGGGATGAGCTCTGCTCGGCTCGAGCTCCGTTTCGAGGCCGGCCAAGCCAAGCACATGCGCGCAGGCGCATGACGTCACGCACCACGACTCAGCGATCAATCGAGGGCGGCCTTACTGGTGTTTTCGGATCTGTCGTCCTCTTTTTTTCACGCGAGGAACATGTCTGCGGATTTCCGAGGATTATCTCTGACGAGATAACGGGAAGGACAAAGGGCGAGTTATATTCGAACAAGGTGACTTTCGCTGTACCATTAGCTACAGATTGGAAAGTGGTTTGCGATGTTGTATTTGTGCTGTGAGGTGTGAATTGAAGCGAGCGTGAGGCAATTTTCGCGATCCACGCTTTCTCCTGCTTCTTATTCTGTTGTGTTGTGAACGCAGATCAGCACGGGCGGGGATGCGGCATCTGTACTTTGTGTGTTGAGCATGGCATTTGACCGGCATTTCAGGTGATTATAGGCCGAATGAGTAGAGACATTAAGGACTTTGGGGTAATTTCGTGTTTATTTCATTTTTGTTTTTTATTGAGACGTTCCAAGTGCCTGCGCTTCAGCGCAAATGCCATGGCATTGGTAGACTTGCCCATCGATTTAGCTTCCTTGAAATCCACGTTACACGTGCTTATACTCAGTTACTGCGCTCCCACTGTGGTTTTGGTTCAGGGATAGAGGACATGTGGGTCCAATAACCAATGTCATTTACTCATATAATATTATATTTTATTCATATTATGCTTAGGGTTAAGGTTTAGGTTCGGTTAGCGTTAGGTTGGCGTTTAGATTAGGGTTAGGCGTTCAGGTTAGGCACATTGGTTTTATTGGACCCATGTTTTATCTTGGGCCGTTTTTTGTACATCAGATCATACTAGTACTAGGAAAAAATAACTTTATTGCTGTCGTTGTTTACGAATGTACGTACTCTTTCCTTCATCCTCCATTTCTCAGTTTCAACTTCCAACCCTTTTATTGCCTCCAGATTTCTCTTCTGTACAAAGGCCAACGGTAGATGCCAATCATCTACTTCTGCCTCTTCCTCTATGGCATCTTGGCTTTTTCAAAGTCGCCATGCTCTCGCAGTTTGACACACAGTAGCTTCCACCATTAGTTAGAAGAAAAATTTCAATAACGCGTTAAAGGTTTTCACGCATGTAACACATGCGTTTTTCCACTATTCGCGCTCGCGTTACACTGCCTTGGCGTCCATGTTGATATTATTATTCGGAAGATAGCGCTCCCTAGTGGCAGCTGTCACTTTGGTGTGTGCCGTGTGGCAATGATCTCTATAGTATAATTATTATATATAATATTATATAATATAGATTATTTATGAGATCGTGTGTGGCAGTGGCCCAAGCGTGGCCCACTGTAATAACCGCTATTATAATAAACTGTGATAACTGTTAAACAGCTAAGTTTCATATACATATTTAGCCCGAATGACATTCCAGCCAACACTTTGGATAGCATCTGCACAGTATTGCCATATAGTAGCGTCGCAGAATAAAGTCGCAGAGCAGTTCGGTGTACTCTTTTTTGTCAACGCCAAGTTTAACATTATGGTTATGTGGATGGCGTGGATGAATGGATATACTATATTATTATAAACTATTATATATTATAGAGGAGAGCGAGAGATAGTAGATAGAGTATTGATAGAGATTAGATGATAATGTAGATAGATCTATAGATAGATAATAGATAGATAGATTTAGATAGATAAATGATAGTATAGATGAGATAGTAGATATAGAAGATAGATAATAGTAGATAGTAGATAGATAGTATTAGTAGTAGATAGATGATAGATAATAGATAGTAATAGATAGATAGTAGATAGTTAATGGATAGATAGATAAGATGTGTATAGATTGATAGATAGATAGATGATAGATAGATAGATACATCGTAGATGTGATGATGATGATAGATGATAGATAGTGATTTGTAGTAGATAGATAATAGATATAGATAGATAGATAGATAGAATAAATGATAGATATAGAAGATAGATAATAGATAGATAGATAGATAGATAGTTGATGAGATGATAGATAGAGAAGTAGATGATAGTAGATAGTCATGGATAGATAGATAGTAGATGATGATGATAGATGATAGATAGAGTAGATTAGATAGATAGATAGATACCCGGTAGATAGATAGATAGATTGATTGATTGATAGATTGATAGATAGAACTTTTCCCGTAGGTAGGTTTTCGTGGTGTCATATAATTATTCCCACGGTGACAAAACCACGGGAGTTTCGCAATTACATATCTATCTTTCAGTGAGGTTTATCTAAATGCGTTTTCACCGTACCAGCATAACCACCATCATAAACTCGCGCGCATATATAGGCGCTTGCAGACGTGCACGCACATGCGCGCACGCGTGCGCGTGCATGCGCGCGATGCGTTGGGAAATGCAGATGCGGGGACGAATTCAATCACACGCCTTTCGTACCTGTCATAGTGAGAATAAATTGAAAATAACAATATACTAGCTGTTTATCTGTATTGATTTTAATAAGACCTCTCCCTACCCCTTATCTGATACAAAAATCCGTGCTGCATATATACGCAGGGCGTACCTCAAATGTCTTTTCGTGCATTCTTATCGTATCACTGCATTTGTTCTGCACGCGTGGTTTAATTACTTCTTGCAACTTTTCCAAAAAAGTGTTACCTCGTGATTATTCCTCTGGGTGACAAATCGCCTCCCCGCGCCGCGTCCTTAATATTAATTTACTCCGTCTATGGTGATGCTAGGTTGAGTAGAGGAATAAAACTGGACACACCTGTCTTTATCAAATGCCAGCTCAACGGGGACTTCGCTTTAACAGAAACTCCACTGTAGATGTCGCCACATAGTGATCACCGCCCATCCTGTGGCGCAGGTTTGCCTATGGCCTTTATTTATGCAACCGGCGCGAGTCTACCGCTACCAGTGCGTGAGAGTTGGCAGAGCGTTGCTACGTGCGTGTCATGAGCGCGCGGTTGGAGGTGTACCGTGTGCCGAACGAACCGTAGCTATCGCTGGCAAAATGGATCACTTCTGTTGTTTTGTGCTATGTGTCATCCAAACATTTGTAGTTGTGCATGCTTTTAATTTGGAAGTTAGATTACCGATCGTCAAAATAGGAAAACAGGATACATATTTTGGTTACTCCGTCACGGGTCATCAAATCATCGAACCAGGTGGTGAGTAAGCTTACCTGCGTACTAGTTTTTAAGTTTTTACTTCTTGTACTAAATCTTGTAAGATTTAATCATTTACTATCAGTATCACTACCTATCCCGATTTAATATAGACGTAACGTATACGACATTCAATAAATTAACAGTAGATATTGATATTTAGCTCTTGATATTTTATATATTTGTATGGACTGTGAGAACACTAAGCTACGTACTGTACCGCGTACGCATACAGTATTGGACCTGGTAATTCTAATTGATATTCTGGTAGCGTCAGGTGTTCAGTCAAGGTGGGGTGGAAATAGATATGATGTCAGCATTAATTTCACCGATTATTGCTGATTTTTAATTGTTTAATATTTAAAGGTGAAAAGAAAAACCTCCTACTAGTCGGAGCACCGCGCGGTGAGACGGGTCAGCAAGCGACCAGTAACACTGGAGTCGTACAACGATGCCCCATCACGTCCGACCCCTACGACTGCCAGTCGCTCGATGTCGAGAACTTGATGCAGGCGGGCAACAAACCGCCGCGGGACTCCGAGTCGAAGGACGAGCAGTGGCTCGGCGTCACCGTGACGAGTCAGGGTCCCGGAAAGTTTGCGGTCATCTGCGCTCACCGCTACCTCATGGTCAACTCTGACTACAGGTACGGCATCGGTGCCTGCTACGGCCTCACGAAGGAGCTCGACTACAACATGATGTACTCGCCGTGCCGCGGCCTGCCGACGCGAGGCGGCCACCAGGAGTACGCCTACTGCCAGTTCGGCGCCGACGCGCACATCGCCGATGATGGCACGGTGATCTTCGGCGCGCCAGGCTCGTACACGTGGTCCGGGTCGGCGATGGTGAACAGCGTGCAGGACCCGGACGACCTGTTCGCCGACACGACGTGGTACAACTCCCCCATCGAGCAGACGCCGTCGTACAGCTACATGGGATACGCCGTGACGACGGGCCGCTTCGTCGACGACGAGCTGACATACGTATCGGCGGCGCCACGCAGCGGCGACGTCGGCGAGGTGCTGTTCTTCCACCGCGTCAACTCGGGAGCGAACAAGACGCTCGTGCAGGTGATGACGCTGCGTGGAGAGGAGCTCGGGTCGTACTTCGGACACTCTCTCGCCGGCGTCGACCTCGACGGGGACGGATACGAGGACCTCATCGTCGGAGCGCCGTTCTACCGCGGCGGCGACAACAAGTTTGGCGGCCGCGTCTATGTCTACCGCAACAGCGCGGCGGGATTCGACCCGAACCAGGTGCCCGTCAACATCTCGGGTTCGTTCGGCTCGCACTTTGGGCACATCGTGCGAGCGATCGGTGACGTGAACCAGGACGGATACGACGACGTCGCCGTTGGCGCGCCGTACGAGGGTAACGGCTCCGTCTACATCTTCCACGGCTCGAAGGACTTCATCGTCGAGGAGCCGGCGCAGGTCATCAAGTCGGAGAGCCTGCCCGGCGGCCCGATGCCGGCCTTCGGTCACTCGCTGGCCGGCAGGCAGGACCTGGATGAGAACCAGTACCCGGACCTCGTCGTCGGCGCCTTCCAGTCGGACAAGGTCGTGCTGCTGCTCGCGCGGCCCATCGTCAACGTCACGTTCAAGACACGCAGTCCGATTAAGCCGATCGACCCGTACGACAAGTCGTGTCCGAGCGCGCCGGGACAGCTGTGCGTCTCGTTCGAGCCGTGCTTCAAGTACACGGCATTCCCGGCGGCGACCTTCAACACGCGTCTGCGCATGACCTTCACTATCGAGGCGGACGCCGCGAAGAGCGACTTTGCGCGGCGCGTGTCGTTCCGCAACGCAGGCGAGCCGAGCTGGCGTGTCACGCGCGACATCACGCTCGGCAAGCAGTCGACGGGCCGCTGGACGTGCGGCGACGAGGAGACGCTCTACGTGAAGAAGGAGACGCGCGACATACTGCGGCCGATCGCCGTCATCGTTGCGAGCGCACTCGTCGCCGCCGCGCCGACCGTGCCGTCGCCGGGGCAACCGCTGCCGAGCGTCGACGACTTCCCGATCCTCGCGCGCGGCTCCGAGTCGAGCGAGTTCAGCATCGAGTTCCTCAAGGACTGCGCGGACGACGGCGACGAGGACACATGTCGCAGCGACCTCGTCGTGGTGGGCGACCTCGGGCTGCCGGCGGGCGAGGGAGGCGGCGAGCCCGTGCTGGTGCTCGGCGAGTATGACTCGCTCAACGTCACCGTCGTCGTGACGAACCGCGCCGAGGCCGCCTACGAGGCCGAGCTCGTCGTCACCGTGTCCGACTTTGTCGACTACCCGACGCTGCAGCCGGGCAGCGGCACGACGTGCTCGCCCGACAACGGCACGCTGCTCTGCAAGATCGGAAACCCGTTCGCGAACGGCGCGCGCCGCACGCTCCGCTTCTCGCTCGACGTGAGCGAGCTGCCGGCGACGGCGCGCCGCCTCGTCGTCAACGCCGCCGCGCGCACGTCAAGCGAGGAGGCGGTGCCGGCGGACAACGTCGTCGCGCTGACGGCGCGCACGCTCGTGCGCACGGACCTGCTCGTCGAGGCGTCGGCCTACCCGCCCGACCAGATCCTGTACGGCGGCGACGTGCGCGGGGCGTTCGCGATGTCGCACGAGAAGGACATCGGCGCGTACGTCGAGCACGCCTATACGGTGCTCAACAACGGCACAGGCAGCATCGGCGCGCTGCGCGTGCATGTCTGGTGGCCGCATGAGGTCGAGAACAACCGCGCGCACGGCAAGTACCTGCTCTACATGGTCGCGCCGCCCGAGGTCAGCGGCAACGGCGCGTGCGACCTCGGCGACGCCGCCGCGTACGTCAACCCGCTCGGCCTCGAGCTGGTCGAGCGCACGCGCAAGCCGCGCGCCGACGTCTCCGCCTCGGCGGCGAATCCCGGCTTCGCCGACGATGAAACGGAGCCGCTCGGGTCCGACCACCGGCGGCGGAAACGCGAGGCGGCGCGGGCGACGGCCGACAGCAGCACGGCAGCGGTGAAGTCGCACGGCAAGGTGGCGCGGTTCGACTGCGAGACGGGCACGGCGAAGTGCTTCACGTTCGTGTGCAACATCGTGGACCTCTCGAGCCATGAGAGCGTGAAGATCACGATGCGCGCGCGGCTCTGGAACGGCACTTTCCTCGAGGACTACCGCGACGCCGACTACGTGCTCATCGCGTCGCACGCGAACGTCACCATCGACCCGTCGCTGAGCATCGAGCAGGACCCGAGCAACGACCACGCGTCGGCCGTCACGAAGGCCTACCCGGACGCGCTGCGAGTCAAGGTCGAGGAGCAGCTGCCGATCTGGATCATCATCGTCTCGATTGGAGCCGGCATCCTCGTCCTCAGCTGCATCGTGGCGATTCTCTGCTGGACGGGATTCTTCAAGCGCACGCGGCCCGAGGAGATGACGGCGCGCATGGAGAAGAAGAGGCTGTACGCGGACGAATCGTCGTAGCGACCGGCGTCGGCCCGGCGACGCGACGCGAGAGTGCGGGGGGGCAAAGTGCGTGGCAGGCAAGATGCATGCAGCGGCTTGAGTCGAAACTGACTAACCCTCAGGTAAGTTGACCGGGAAGCGTTCCTGCGAGAGCGTGACATTGCAGTCGCCCACGCGGCGGCCCTTGCGGCAGCCCACGTGGTGCCGTGCAATGGAGGCAGGAGGGGCCTCCCTGCCAGAACACGGCATTGCAGAGCCGCCCTGATGGAGGCAGGGCAGGGCGGGCACGCGTCAGAAGAGCTGCCCGCTTATCACAAGCAGATGCCCTGACGTGCCGGTAATTGGGAAAACGTGCAAAACGCTGATCCTCCCGTTAAACCCTGCGCGGCGCGAAAAAAGCAAACGACTTGCGTCTGGGTTTCACCTACCCGCGACCGAGAGTCCCGCAGCCGAGCGAGCGCAAATCCAGCTAATTTGTGTCTCGGGAGTAGCGCCCTCTGGAGTCCCCAGCCGCCGCGCCCACCGTGTGCAGACGGTGGTGTAGCGAGGATGCAGGAGCGCGCATGTGACGTCTGTACGTCCCACCCCTGTGACGTGAGAGGGAATGTGTGTCTTCTGTCCCCCACTCCAGTTGGCTTCTGGATGAGGATGGTGATGGCTTCCTCTGCGTGGTGCACGGGAAGGTTGCCGTCGTGGTCCGTTGGAAGCATCCATGGCCAACACACCAGCTTCGGTCATCAGAGGAGGAAGGTTGGACGAGGAGGCAGACGAAGGACTGGTTCTGGCACAGGGAGCATGCGTCCGCCCATCTACGACTAAGTTCGGGTAGACGCAGTAAAAAACCATTGCATTTACTGTTGTGAGAGCTTTATCTGTGAAGTCCTTTCCTATGTCACAGGCGCTGGGTTGGAGTGAAGTGCTAGATAGGTACAGTTATTGTCATGTGCACAAAGTCAGAGTCAGGTAGTGTAACCAGTTATACTTGCCGTGACCGCATGCCTGCCACGTTACACACGGTCTCCCTCTCTTTCTCCTGCGCGTGCTTGCGCTCCGATGTGCAGCCCTAGACTTACTGCCCCTGCTCCCAGCAGCTGGCACCTTAGTCGATCCGTGAAATCGGCCCTCCATAATTTCACTCCCACACCCAGACCCCCACCACAGAATCCCAACGGCAGATGAGATGGAAAATTTTTCCCACAGATTTGGCGCCCTGTTTTACTTCCCACCCCCGTTTACTACGTGCCCGCGTATTGTGCCTGTACCTGCGGGCCGGGCCGGGTCCACTGCGCTGGGCCGCCCATGTCCTGCACAGTAGTTTGCACTCTCACAGTAGATGCGCGCAGGCCGGCCGGTACAGCGAGCCAATACGACTTGCTGCGGGCGTGTGCGTGGCGACTGTACCACTACCACCACCAGCAGCAGCAGCAGCAGCAAGACTCATTGAAAGCCATCTCTGATTGATTTCTGCGGCAGCGTGGAAGTCGGCGGGCCCTTGTCGCAGCAGCGGCCCGGCTTGCTTGCTTGCTAACTGACCACCACCAGTGCTGCTGCTGCTGCTGCTGCTGCTGCTGCTGCTGCTGCTGCTGCTGCTCCCGGTCATCTTCCCCCTCTAGCGATAATCATCACGCGACGACACGATTTGCCCCGATTGCCTGCGATGAGGGGGCGGCGGGGAATTTCAGCTGCCGACTCGTCCGATTGTCGGCCGACCACCTTGCGCGGGGGCAGCAGGCAGGGGCGGGATTGCTGCTGGTTTTGCCGCGGTTAGGTTGTCGCGGTTGCTCGCTCCGTTCGATCCGTCTTGCGAGGGACGGAGAGCGGAATGACTGGCGAATGTGACCAATGCACACTGACTGTGGACCGGTTATTAGCAGTGGCTTTACGGCTCCGACTCCAACGCAAGCGGCCCGCTGGTACGCTCCCCTCTCCCGCTCGCAAACCCGTTCCTAATGGTGGTCGGGCCCCCACCACGCTGCTCACAAATCGAACCGCCACTGAGTGTGGTAGTATGACCAGGCAAACACAATAACAAGCACTCGTCTAGTGCTTACTCGCAATTTACGTGCTGGTGCCGTGTACGCGTGTACAATACATGCGTATGTATTTTAGCTGGAAATGTCAATTTCGGCCGCCTGTAATTTCGCACCGTCACCCTCGGTGTATGGGGGGAGGGGAGGGCTGTAAGAGCGAGAGGGGTAGGGCTGGAAGCGAGAGAAAGGGGGAGTGGTGTAATAGCGAGATAGGGAGTGGGTCGGAGCGGGAGAGTGTGGGGATGGGCTACGAGAGCCGTAAAACGAATTGTTTTATTCTGTCTCGGTAGCCTCTCGCGTGTCTCTTTGGCCACAAGTCACACCCATCCCCCTCTCTCTTTGTCATGTATTGTGACGTCGTACGTGAATACTGAATTAGTATGATCTCAAGATTCGCCACGTGCTTTTTCTTCCTCTGCTACTTGCTCCTCCTCCTCTTCATCTTCCTCTCCATCTTGTTCTCCTCTTTTTCCGTTTTCTTCTTTCTCTTCTTTGCCTCTCATCTCGCCGCGAATACACTGCACACTCCCAGGGAGGACTTATGGCTGTATCAGCTTGTACTCGCGATGTTAGTCTTTCTTCGGGTCGATTAAGTAGCGTTTAGTGAAAACATGTCTTTCGCGTTTTAGCGAAAGCGCAAGTCGTTCACATGTGTATGCTGAGGAGGCCTCACTCGCGAGCACGCTGCGATTCTACGGTCTCTCTCTACGGATGGATAAAAAACGACATTGCGAGGCGGGCCAGCTTATAGCTCCGCAGAGACACTTCTAAGTTTCTAAACTAATAGCGCAACACATGCACGGCCGTGTAAAGACTTCGGATGAGGTTACACGCGGGCGAAGACGGCCCAGCTGCAAAAACGCGCGCGGGTTCTACTTAGATTGATCTAAGACAAAAAAACCGAGATTGGTCCCATATCGCGGTTCTCATAGATGTAACATCGAGCTAATAACAATTTTTTTAGATGCATGCGCGTATAACGTGCGCGTGTAGATTTTTTAAAGGGCTGCGCGCCCGCGAGCGTGTATGCGGTTAACTGCTAGCTGCTAGATCTACTGAGATAAAGGGGGTGGGTGCAGGTGGTGGGAGAGCGCTGGGCGTGTTCCGGGTGTGGTTCACGGAAGATAAGAATTGGGGGAGAAATTCAACGCGACCGCCCTTGACTTTGAAATATTATAATTCATCTCTGTTACGTTACTGAAGCCGCGGACCTCAGATACACGATGTGAGCGTCGCGGTCTGTCTGTGCGTGTGGAAGGCGCGGGAGATTCACTTCACTCGCCGTGACTGTCCTACCACGGTTCATCAGGACCCTCCATACATCCATACTTCAGTTCTTCCAGTCTCCCACAGTTGGAAATGTTAGCGTGGTAGTGCTGTGAGTGAATGGAATTAAAATAGTGTCTAATTACGTGCGAACGACACGAGTGGGATCATATAACCGTGTGTTCGTTCTGTCTGTGTCTTTCTGTCCTGTGTCCTGTCTCCTGTCCTGTCCTGCCTCCTGTCCTGTGTCCTGTGTCCTGTGTGTGCCTGTGCGTGGAGGATGCGTGCGCGTGTGTGTTCGTGCGTGCCTGTGTCTGTGCCTGTGTCTGTCTGTCTCCCCCCTCACCCGAGTAAAGACCGAGATTGGTCCCATATCGCGTTTCTCATAGATGCAACATCGAGCTAATATAACGTGCACGTGTAGAATTTTTAAAGTCTCTTGGTTTAAAAGCTTCCCTTGTATGCGTGTACTGGCAGTGAGCGCGCGCGGGGGCTGGAGTGAAAGTTCGTCTGCTATATATGAGTTCTGCTAAGGCGTCTGCTGTGCGCCAGCGGAGTCGTCTGCGTCGTTACGCGTCGCTCTCCGGCGGGACCGCCGCTCGGCTGCGGCCGCTGCTGCTAGGTTTCTGCGTCTGCCACCCGCTGTCGTTCGATTTGCTTTCCGACTCGATTGAAACGCATTTCCCGCGAGTCCAATAACCGCCGACGGAGATAGAAAGAGAGCGAGAGAGAGAGAGAGAGAGGAGGAGTGTGTGTGTGTCTTATAGACTGTACGGGCGCGCTGATTTCATTGCCGCTGTTTGCGGGGCTCGAATTGCCATTTCGGGAAGCCAGAGCGTCGCCTGGCTCCTCTGTCTCCGTGCTGCATGGATGCGGGAACGAGGGAGGGGGGAGAATGCGATGTTTTTTTATAAACACGTCGGCGAGCCAGGCGGATAATCGCCCTCGCGCACGCATCCGGCGCTCCCGCCTTAACCCCATCCTCGCCGCCGATTGCACGCACGGGGAGGGGGAGGGATTTCCCGCCGGTGGTTTAGACCGGTTCCGAACGTCACCGCGGCCTGTGCGCGCGTGCGGGAACGAGAGCGTATGGCGACAGTCTTGCCCGCGGTGGTCTGTTTCGTGTCTGCGACATTCTTATGTAAGTTTTTTTTCCCGAGCGACGTCGGGGCGGGGTTTGGCGATGAGACTCGGGGGCAATATACGGGAAAGATGATGGATGGGTGCGTGCGGAGAGCTTTTGTACTCACCAGCTAGACTGATGCTGGAACTCGCCGTGGTTGAGCCCCCGGCGAGGGAGGCGCTCGGTTACCAATGACTTATATTATCACTGGAGTCTGTCTACTCGCTCACGTCACGCGCAGGCACGCAGTGAACTCGTACTAGCATCAGGCTCCTGACTAGCATATATACCATCGGCATATGTCCTCCCCCGACTCATCGTGATGAACAGGAGACTGACTGTACGTGTCGTGTGAATGAGTTTAGCAGGTGAACGAACGTACGCGCCCGCGTGCGTGCATGCAGTGCGACCGAGCCGCGTTCAGCGACGTCTGTGTGTAGCGTGCGGCCCGTATGGAAAGGGTGTGTGCGCGCGCGCGCGCGCGTGCGTCGTGCGTGCGTGTGTGTATGTTTGTGTACATGTACGTGCGTGCGCGAAAAAAGATAGGTCTAGAGACAGAGAGAAGCGGCGGCGGCGGTCGCGACGGCGGGAGAGGGCGACGGGTTGCGGTGACGGCGGGAGATAGCGGGGGGTTGCGGTGACGGCGGGAGATAGCGGGGGGTTGCGAACGAACCAACCGTAAACGTATTTATGGGCAAAGATTCGTTACGCGCTCCCTATCGTAAATGCGCTCGATTAGGGGGGTCCGTGTGGTAGTGTGAGAGGAGCGAAGCTAGCAGCTACAGGCTCGCACCCCGCTAACAGTAATAAACGCAGTGGTGGGCCCGCCTCGTGCTGTGTCAATTAGCTACCAGGGGTTCCCCCGTCACCGACCATATCGGGTTTGATTGCCGCGTCGCCAAGTTTGTTATTTTACCCGGCCGATAGTAGGAGCAAGGTTGTCCGGCGGCACACGCAGACAGAAAACCCGGGCAAGCCTAACCTTGAGAGGTAGTAGAAGATAGCAGCCGCGGAGCCAGCATGAACAATAGTAGACGCTGCTGCCTCGGGAAGTGGTGGGCTACTGGCAGTATATAATAGCAGGGGTAAATGATCTTAATTTGAGATTATTTACTCCAGATAATAGCTACCGCTCCGGTAAGAAATTATCAGTTGTAATATCGCCGGCAGCAGAACTGGCGCCTCCACGCGCGCTGCTACTACTGCTGCTGCTTTTGCTGCTGCTGCTGCTGCTGCTGCTGCTGCTGCTGCTGCTGCTGCTGTTTGCTGTTTGCTGGTAGCGGTGGGCGAGTCCGCCTGCGTCTGCTAACCCATTCGTTCAGCAGTTATAGCGAATCGATGGCCGAGTGAGTTTGTGCTGGTATTAAAAATTGATCAGGCTTCTTTCGCTCCTCGCTGAACGTGCGGGCCGCTCTCCGTATAGGTCTCTCTCTCTCTCTCTCTCTCTCTCTCTCTCTCTCTCTCTCTCTCTCTCTCTCTCTCTCTCTCTCTCTCTCTCTCTCTCTCTTAGATTGCATTATAAAATGGCATTTTGTTAGATATTACATGGAACGTGGGTGTGTGGCTCTCTCTCGTTCTCCCACCCCTCTCTCTCTCCTCCATCCCTCTCTCCCCCTCTCACCCTTCCCCTCGCTTGCTCTCTCTATCCCCTTTTGCGTACGTGCCTCAGTCTTTCTCCATTCCCTCCACTCTCTCATACAATCGACCCTTCCCCCTCTCCCTCGCTATCATGCTCTCTTTCCCATGCTCTCTCATAATATGCTCTCATGCTTTCTCATGCTCGTGAGTCACTCTTGAGCTCTCCGGTCATTGAGTTCGCTCGTGAGAAAGAATGACGACATCGCGCCGGGTTCCGCTCGCGCTATTGTCGTGGAATCATGCACGGGCTCTTGATTCCGTTACGCGACTCGGTGCTTCTCGATTAAAAAAGAAACGCTGCGGGGAAAAATTACACAAATCACTTCATGTTGCTGGGCGCGGGGGCGGCTGCCGGAGGGGAGGTGTTCTGGCGAGTTATTACTCATTCGTATGCACTTATAAGCGGCTTGCTGGTGGGTGGGCGGGTGGTTGGTTTGGATTGGGAAGAACACGGCTTCTTTGTCTGTAGGTGTCTGATGCAGCCGGCTTCTCCTCCTCGATTTCTGTCGTAAGTACGTGGGATAATGTCGCGACGCGTCACGTGACGGGCGTCAGCAGACGCCCAGTTGTGCGATCGGTGGTCTTCACCGCACTGCACGCGCACCACCTATAGTTTGTCTGTGGGTCCGTGAAATGCGATCATGAGCTGCGTGGCCGTAAGCTGGGGGGGGGGGCAAACCCATGGAGGCCGATCGCGGCCGAGTGCTCGCGAAATTACGCACCCTCGGTGTAATAATGCCTCCCTCGCGCGCGAGAGGGTGAGAGACGGTGCCGATTACATTCATAGTACGTCTCGTACGAGGTTGGAGGGGCTGGGTGCGGGTGGAAGGCTGGACATACTAGAAGTGTGCTAATACCGCACGCCTGCGATGCGCCTACACATCCTACCTTAACTGTCTACCTACCACTATCCTTCCTAGTCCTACCGCCAGGAGGACGCCCGTGTCTATCGTGTCATCCCGTTACTATTGCATGTCTTCGCTGTCTGCGACAGATGGATAGGAATATACGATAGGTGTGCTAAACATGCACGCGTGCTGCTCGCCCCCAGCCTAGTTCTACCGTCATCAGGAGGACGTAGTTTTACCATTTCTTTGAGTTGGTCCAGCTACCATTCCAGACCTTCGCTGCACCACTGGTG